ATTGGGCCCCATCTGTGGTGGTCTGATGGCTCTTTGAGGCGCGCGCGGAACGCGACGCGCCGTACGCTCGGGTCTGTTTCTGGTCGGACGGGGAGCCACCCATGCTCGCCGTCCGCAGTCCCGCGCTTACGGTGGCCGGAGATCGTCCCGCGATCCCCAACGCCCGGTGTGTCCTTCGTGATGGCTGGGTTGCTCCGCATCATGGCCTGCACTAGGCCCGAACGCGAGAGGTCGCCATCGCCGATCACTTCCCTAAGGGCACGGCGGTGCTTAGCCCACGCAGCGCATTCTCCCACTGTGTGTTCCACCGTGTCCTCAGGGCGAAATGAAATATTACGTATATTCACGTGAGTAACCCGCGATTTTTAGTTAATATAGTATATCTCACGAGTTATTTTAAAAATTACAACTTCATATTAAAACCAAGTATTCTTTATAATAATCGTTTGCGATGCGATAAAACACGATGAACATTACATATTTCTTTGATGTGACCTTTTTGTAATTCTACAGGTCAATTCGAATCTTGTATGTTTTATATAACATTGGTTATTAAAATGACAAGCGAAACCTTTCAGTTTCTACGACAAACATCTGAAGAGGCTTCTAGGGGAGAAAGTAATTTGGGTCGGAAGGTCTGTGTGGGTCAGCTTATACGAAACCACTCGTGGAGAAGACCTTAGTCGAGTGTATAATAAGAAGCCAAAAAAATAAAAATAAGTTTTTCATTTAGATTACCTCAAACTTGTTTTTATTGGTTGGAAACCAGTATTTTATTGGTCTTTTTGATGTGATCTCTAGGATATGGCTTGTATTTCATTTCTCAGAATTTTAACTTAAATACTGGAATTTTCCAAGTAGGGAATGAAAATGGTTGGAAGTTTTCCAATTCTTGTTGTTTTTTAATGAATGTTAATAATATAAAATTGATGTACAATTGCCTGATTAGCCTGACTGCCTCATTGACCGAGTGGTTGAGTGCCCTCATTAGCCAAGCGGTCGCAAGTGCGACTGCCGGGCAAGGGGTCTCGGGTGCGATTCCCGGGTCGAGCAAAGTATAACTGGATTTTTTTTTAAATCTCAGTAGTAGCACGGAGTTTGGAAATGTGCCCGGTATATAGCAATAGGCTCACCCCCCCCCCTTTTATATGGGAGTCATAACATAATAGTGAAAAATGGGTGTTACATTTGTACAACATACACAAAATGGGTATTTTGTGTACAATTGACAAATTTTTGTGCGTTTAGGCGCTTTTGCCATACCTGTTACTGTAAGCAAGTATAACAGCTCACACATAGGACCCACTTAGATTTTAGTCAAATTTCCGTGGTGCTTTTCTTTGTGCCTTTAGGCTTGATTCAATCTGACTCCTGCAGAAACTCACCGAGGGAAGTGGAGACTATCGTTTTTTTTTCTTCTCCTCTTATAATATCTTCTGATTCACTTCGTTGAGGGAACCAAGACAGTTATTCATGTCACTGAGACGGGCCGGACTTCAGTGTTCCCGTGTTTTCATGGTTGTATCTACTGTAGGTCCTGGCTTACAGGAGTTGCAGCGGTTTTGTGAGGTTGTGGCGGGCTTGTCCCATTTAAAACAAAAATTATCAAAATTGGCGGTCGACTATCGTTAGGCGTTATTCGTATGCACTCGGCGTGATCGACCACAGGTTAAACCGGGCGGTGAATAATGATTTTGCCATAGGATTATGTATAAAGTGTGTATATCCGTAAACTATAAACTATATCGATAGTACTTTCAGTTGTACCATCTCTATTAGATATAGTAGGATGCAATGTTAGTTTTGAAGTAGTAATAGTATGAATATAATTAGCATACCTGGATATTGAAAACACGTGGCAATATGCCCAGTAATCTTTCTAAATATCTTTGAACAGGCAAGACAGTATCAACGTATAATAACAATTATGTATAGTATAAAAAAATATGAGATCTAAGGTGTGAAAAAAATAGATTTATATGGTTATTAAGAGTGTATTGTGTATCAAGTTACCAGACCGTTTTGTCCTCAGATAGAGAGTAAAATTCCAATTCCAAAATTTGACCCAAGCAAAGCAAGCTGAATAAAACCGTTTAGTAATAAAAATAGTAGTAAAATAAAAAAAGGAAGATCGAAAGTCTCTGCTATATTCATAAATTCGAAATGAAAAATTGCAGAGCTAAAGAATGTACTACTGAAAATTCATTTTTTAGACGTGAATAGTCAAATTTTGAGTTCTCTTTTTGAAACATATCGTGAGTGTGAAACGCCAAAGAGGTGTCAGCTATTCTGTCAATATGTCATGCGCAAGGTTTCGCTAAGCTTGTATCTACGCCATGATTGGAGAACGAACTGACGTGTTGACAGTTGCCCTTTTTTAACCTTTTGTGTATACTGTAGCTTCGTAGGCGTACCTACATAAAATTATCGTTACACATACTTATTTCAAACACGAAAGCATGCTTTAATTAAGCACTTGTTTAATAGTACGTGTGTCGAAATGTTGCTCAAAATTAGCATGCTTATTTCCAGCATGTTCGCGAATAGTAGTGTGTAGTAGTGTAGTGTGGGAGAGCCATTCTTCGGCACGAATGGAACGGCTCTACTGGAGTGATACCACGACCTCACAGAAAACCGACATGAAGCAACGCTTGCGTTGTGTTTCGTCGTGTGAGTGAGGTTACCGAAGGCCCAATTACACCCTCCCCTTTCCCAATCTACTCAATTCCTAAATCTCCAACGATCCTTAAATTCCTAATCCCCAAAAGGCCGGTAACGCACTTGTGTTTCTGGTGTTCCAGGTGTCCATGGGGGACGCCGATTGTTTACCATCAGGTGATCCGTCTGCTCGATTACCAGTTTATGACATAAAACACAACGCAACGAACGTTCACTCACACGACGAAACAACGCAAGCGTTGCTTCACGTCGGTTTTCTGTGAGGCCGTGGTATCACTCCGGTCGAGCCGGCCCATTCGTGCCGAAGCATGGCTCTTCCACATTTAAAGAATGTGTAATGATATTAGTTCAAATAACTATTGCTAAATATACTAATTCTAAATAAAAATTTTCCAATGAATTATTCGGTCAAAGGAATAATTCCATGAAATGACTTTATTGCAACTAAAATTCGATGAAGTGATTTTCGACGAAACGTTGTTCGACCAAACAAGGGTGAACCGAATATTGGGCGGAATTGAAAACACGACTGAAAGTTGTTTTTTTTTGTCTATTAATACCTAGTAGCTCACTAAATACAAATGTTAATAGATCCATACAAGAGCTGATGATCGAGCTCAGTGGCGTGCCATTGGAGAGACCTATGTGCAGTGGACGAGAAAAGGCTGTTAATGGTGATGATGATACATAAAAAGTCTCTGTAATAACACCGGGAACGCATCAAAAGCGCCGACTAAAGCTCGTAAATTATAACAATAAAATTATATATTTCTTGTTTCAAAGTTTGTAGCGTGATTTTAAAACAAAAACGGTTTTATTCTTCTATAAATGTTTGCGATTCTAAAGTCGGCAAAGGTATAGTTAAAGGAAACGATAGTCATCTGTTGATGTAAGTAACGACTTTAAACCGAAGAGCGTTTAAGTTACAAGGTTTCCTTACAAAAGGTTACTAACCCCTATTTCTTTTTGACTCGTAGATACCCAACTTAAAGTTAAACATTTTCAACAAAAAATCGCAGGTTACTCATGTACCTCTAAACATACTGAGAACATCTCTAATAGGTTTGAACCACACAGGGATTCTTCCTTATGAGCAGCGTGTCTCACGATAGTTATTATAGAAACAATGTATATTCTCCTTGCACTTAAATTTTCAACCATCAAAATTTTGTTTTTAAAATCGAAATCGAACTTCAAAACTTATAGTTCTTGTGTAGGTATTAATCACAACCCTAACTGTAGAAAAAATAAGATATTTAATGAAATCTCGTAATTTGCAAAACAATACTTAGATTCCAATTTAAAATTAAATATCGCGTATAATTTGTTGAACTTCATACACTTGATTACATTTTTATAAATTAAAACAAAATAATACTGTAAAACTAAAAATCTTCATTTACTTTAGAAGACGGTACACTATTTACTTAAATGAAAAATCTTAGATAAGTACACCAAAGAAAACTTTTATGAATTAATTAATTTTAAAACCAACCAGTACTTTCAAGTACACTTACTTTTTTGACAGATTTATTATTATTTTTTTATGACATAAGCCGGCAAACGAGCTGACGGATCACCTGATGGTAAGCAATCGGCGTCGCCTATGGACACCTGGAAAACCAGAGGCGTTACAAGTGCGTTACCGGATTTTTGGGGATTAGGAGTTTGAGGATCGTTGGGGATTCAGGGATTGGGGAGATTGGGAAAAGGGATTTTTTTATCAAACGGTTGTATAAAACGTGATTTATTAATATATATAAATATGAGTGTTAATCGCCTACTAGAATACATTCATTGTCAGTCTCTTTTTACAAGTAACTGATCAATTTTATGCGAGATATTTGAGCCGATTCGCAATTTTTATTACATATTTTATACACACGTATTAAACCTAAGCCTTAACGTTGATCCCCAAAAAGTCTAAAACCTATTCAAGTCTTTATGCATCTTCAATAAGTTAATGCTCCCTAATCTTTATTGTTTGATTTCTTATAGCTAACGAGCCAGATATATATTTTGAATTGAGAAGCCGACTTTATCTGGCTTTAGAATTTTTGAGATATAAAATTACTAATTTCTAGTCTGTTTGTTTTAATATTCATCTCATAAAAAATCTAAAATTCTGGTCTTATATCAAATAGTCAGTAATGGTGTATCAATAAAAATAGGTTGGTTATTAAATTTAACCTCGTTTACAATGGTTTTGACAAAAGCAGTGATGAATTAAAAAATCTCCTTAACAGCACTCTCATCAACAAGTAAAAATACAAACATCAAGAAAACATTGTAAGGCTTTTAAAAGATATATTTTAACTTACGTAAGCATATAGATGAAGCCTCGTAGCACCTCGTTGTTCACGGGCTGTGCCCCCAGTTCACAATAGAAGTACCTTGCGCATTGTATCGGGTCGCATAGCAATATTCTTTTCCATCTTACGGCAGGCTTCTGCAAATTGTTCAAAACTTATTGTTACACATTTAAAGTGAAGTGAAAATTGCTTGGATGTAATGGATAGCTATGGTTTAGTTCATTGCGTGCTGCAAATATAAGCAGGAGGTCTGAATTATGAATTATAAAAGAAATCTTTATATTTTGGAATTGGGAACTGCCTGGTTGCTAGTAAAATTGCCGAGCACAATATCATGGCAGGGGCTGAGTCCCCGAGAATATTTTATGTATTTCGAAGTTTTGAGAATGAAATTCCCCGTAGTAGCACTTAGTTTCGATTTGAATTTAATTTTCAGATTTAGCAATGTTAAGGCCTTTGTTTAATAGTGCACGTATTGTGTCAAAAGTTCAGTAGAATAAAGTTAGATGCAATATTCTATGTCTTAGGTATCTATTGTTGCGACCACATTTTGAATTTGTCTTGAGTGTAAAGCATCGTTCAGGGTAGTTAAACTTCGTTTTTCTTATTACTAATGCTGTGCGCGTTTTGTTCTTGATCTCTGCGCGTAACGCGTTGTTGGTTTTCAACGAATTGCTTTTTATTTTAAGTTGACATGAACATAGGGTTTTTTAGAGATGTATAGCTGTTGATAAAGAAAATAGAGATCAATGACTTGAAACAAAATCTTTTACGATTTAGTGTTCCAATTTTACTTTTATAACTTTTTATGCCAATTAATACGGCAATCAAAGCACTCAACCTATATTCGGACTATTATACCACAGACCACATACTCGCCTCAATACATTTCTATTTATATTTTTCAGGTACGTTCCCATTCCATATTTCAGTCAAAACAAAATGGTATGAATTTTATTTTATTTTAGACGACCGTTCTTGTATTTCGATAGTAGGTAACTACTGACACGCGGTTGACCGAACCAAACTAATAGCTCTACAGAGAAAAATAAATAAAACTACTTCAACCGTGTGAATTGCGGTCCAGAGTCGAAGAATATGTGGTGAATCGATTTCAGGTTTAAAAAACGGGACTGAATACTCAGATTGTAACGTTCTTAGAAAAAGGTTCGTTGTGTAAACCTGGTACATAAGGGGTGCGCCTCTATTGCATTATGACTAAATAAAGATTAAAAAATATACGTTTACAAAAGTACACCTTTGGGAAATTCATCCTTCATAAAAGGTGGTGTCAAACGAGGTCAACAAAACCACTTCAGATAAAAAGTAAAAATGATTCAAACAATGAAACCCAAGAAAATATTTTAACAATAAATGGAAAAGTTAATTATACTATTAGCAGTCGCTTAGATACGCCTTAAGGCACGTTTATCTAAAAGCCAGATGGCAAGTTCTAGTTTTCAAATTACTCCGATAATTTGTTCGTAATAAACGTACCAAGTTTTGAGACGACTTAAACCGTAAGCCGATGTTAATAGCTTGTCAAAGATCGAACTGATTGTACTGATGATTTACACTTAAGCCAATAACGTTTTAGAGGTAATAAAATAATAGGTGTTCTTTTATAATCAGGTACTTAATTGGTATAATTAGTCAATTCTAAAGCAATTTAAGACGTCTTTACTGTTTGGGAATAAAACAAAATCAAAATATCTTTGGTGATTCCAATACCAATATGACCATAGATAAAGCAATTTAAACCTTAACTGCAAATATTGATAGAACAATTTCATTTTAGACGTTTGTGTGAATGGCAAATCCACGATGAGTTCATCATATAAATCAATTTTAATCAGCTTTGTGGACCAAAAGTGACTGGCTGCAGATAGATTGACGTAACGTGAAGTCGATAACCTAGCTAGACGAAGGCCACGAATATTATTTTATTCGTCTAGCTCCAGACCAAAGCCTTCGCAGAATTTACTTTCATGACATTTAGGAATAAAGCATTCAGGCCCATTCTTTAGCGGGACAACAAACATCTACCTACCAAATGTCCGTGATAGAATAACTTTCTAAAGGCAGAATTATGAAAAGATCTATTCATAAATCTGCTATTATGTAAGAAAATTAAACGATTCGTAACAAACGAGCAAGAAATTCGAAATTTTCTGCTTTGGCGAAAGGTTGCCGTTGTGTACACAGGCATCCTACGCCAGGACGAGGCCAAAACAAAGATGATGGAATTTCCGTTACATGAAAAATGTTTACGTAGTATTTCAATTTCAGTTTACCTGAACTTGCAATCGCAGCATAATTTCAGTTGTAAGCTTTGAAAATGTACGTACAATTTTCATAGTATATTTTATGTAACTTTTAAAATTTTCTAAACGTTTTATGAAAAATAGAATTGCTCAACTGTTACTGAAGGACGAGTTTATATTCGTAATAAAGCTTAAAACTCTAAAAACATCGTAAAGGCAGCAATAACATAAAACAGTGTAAAACTGAAAACTCCGTGGTAAATGGACATGAAATGCATACAAAATGATCGTTGTATAAGCCACCGCAAACATACCAATTTAATGGTATTGTTCCACCACCAGAACTGAGGTTTCAGCAATTACATCTACGGTCTAGTTAAATCTGCTTTTTCAAATAAATAGCCCGTGAAACTGCGTGAAAGTTCTCGAAAATGAGTTCATTTGGTAAAAATAATTTATTTAAAAGCAAAGCTATATGTATTATTCGGTTTATGATGGCCAAATGGTCGGTCTTTGTTTCAAAAAACTCGGCGACTGACAAAAGGGAGTAACGAAGGGGCTTCGGTCTCATACATTTACACAGCTTTGCAGACTCGGATTCACAGATATAATGAGTTCGCTGTCTTTAGTTCCATACGATTGTGGTTGGAATAATAATGTAGTTTTTGTGGCGATAGAGATGTACTAAGTATTGTAGGGACTTTACCGTCCAGTCAAAATCACTCGCCAGATAAATAATCTTGTGTGGTTTATTTTTAGTATTCAATTTTATTCCGTGCGTATTATTTTATTAATATAATAATATATGAAAATAGATTCTATTGTATTTTGTAATCGCCATTTTCAAATTATATTTGAAATTTATTGAAGTGTAATCATTAATTTGAACTGAATAAAATATGACAATCTCCTATAATATCTCTGCCTTTCTCCTCAGAAATAAATAGACTTTATGTTGCAATAAATTCATTAGATTCACGAACGAAAATTCGGATGGAATTTTCCAGATTAAATACGACATGGAATTAGCCAAATAAAATACAGCCAGGATCACTTCGATTGCGTAATATTTTGGGGAGGAACCCGAAAATCCTCAAATTCTCTAAATATTTATGTTCGTCCATTAGAAAAGGAGTTTGTTTAACGACATTAATACGAAAATGTAAACTATTCCTTTGATATCTCGAATCGCTCAACCAATTGCTGAGGTATTAAATTCCGGTTGATTTCTCTAAGGATTACACCAATTTGTACGTAGGAGTATAGTTGAATGTTATATTGCTATTGTATCCGTGTTGGTTTATAGTTATACGTTTGTACCGACATGATATGCATCAATAATGTGAGCTATACAGGTGTATGATATTTTAGCGGTTTCAAGCCATTCATATCTGGTGGTTTCAAGAACAATATGGTCTTAGGATTATGTTACAAAACGTTTCTTATTAGAGAATCTAAGAGAACATTCCCAATAGATGCATGGTACGGTACTTTTAATTCTTTATAATATAATTTAATCCTGATGGTGTGTTTATTTGTTTTTCATACTTTTCGCGTCACACCAGAGTGTTTATATTTATTAAAAAAAAGTTGCCACATACTAGGATTTTCTCCTGTGTCGTGGGTGCGTTTACAAACATACTAGCTTACGATTTCCGTGCGGAAATCGAACACCCACGACACGTTTTTGAGTAGCCAGTTGCCCGGCAACCGTGCGGTCTTTTTTATATATTTATCATATCTTTTGTATTTATAACTTATCTGTCTGGGGATACTTAAGAGGATAGAAAATGAATTCGTTTTTTTACTTTGTACTGGAGGAACCTGTCACAGGAAAATAAGTATCCTTGTAACGGAAGCTAAAGTTATGGGGAATATAATATTGAAATGTAACTTACAGTATACATTTGCGAGGTAAGATCTCTTTTGAAGAGAAATCTGAGGAGCTTGGATGCTGCTGTGAGGGCCTGGTAATCCTGGACGAGGAGATGCAGACTGTACAAGACTCCTACCAGCAACGCCAATAAGATTATCAACCTAGAAAATATAAGACTAAATTTTAGTTTTTGTCCAGGCTTTGTCACTATGTTTGATGGCTTCGTCGATTAATTTGTCCCACGTATGACAGTGGAGCGGTTTGGCGTTGACTCTTGAAACCAATGTTAATGTCAATGCAATTTCAATCTAATAAAATCTCAATAATTATTCAATGTCAAAACTATACAACCCCAGCTTAGCTCTTACAATAGCATTCAGAATGTAAAGCGAAACTCAACACCATTTAGTTTATTAAATATCCACTCAATACGGATGCAATGAGCGCTAGTGGCGCAATTCAAGAGTACGAAATTTCACAATACCAATGTCGATCGATCGGAATTGGATTCAAGAGTAAGCAAGCCCCCTGGTCCATGTTAGTGTTTAAAAAATTCTCCATTTATATTAGAATATAACCTTTCTAACTAAACTATCCTAGTAAATTTGGACCAATAAAAGTTTCATCCACGTTAGGTTTCATTGTATATTTTTGGAGAATTCTGTGCACGATTTTAGTAGTCGTTGTGATCCAACGATTCTTCTATTGAAATCTGTTGATGTTATGTGTGTAGCAGAAATTAAATATGTTTTCAGGGCCAATATTTCAAACTCATTTAAATTTTGTCCTAAGATTTTTTTTATTTTTTAAGGTGGGAAAATCATCGAATTACTGCGCCCAGGGTGAGGCGGTAGGGAGTGTCAGACTCTTACTGACTAAAAACCACCCCGTTCCTTCTCCTGCATGTCGAGCCGGAGCCCCGGAGACCCGTTAAGTTCTCCGCAACTTATCCGAGGAATAAGTTTGAGTATTTGACAATTCATTCATGTAAAAAACTGTCAACTGTCAATTTTATTCTACAGTTAAGAATTAACAAATGATAAAAAAATCGGCCCTAGTCAGTTGTATTAACTGCTCAATTTCATGTATTGTGTTATTCAAACCCATGATATTTTGCACAATACAAGGTCAGTACCTTTACCCATTGTGCAAGCAAATCAAACAATTTGAAACACTTCAACTTCAACACACGGGTAAACGCGCGTTCTCGTATACACGGGTAAATGTTTTAATAGAAATGCGAATTAACTGCTCTAAAGAACGGGTTGCAAACTTGAAAATATACGTCACAGAATAAAATTCCAATCGGTTCGCGTTTCTCGTACACCCGTGTGTACAATTGCGCGATGGGCACTCAACTCTCTCGTACATCCGTGTGTACGAGAAACACGCGAGGGGTTAACTACATAAATAATTACTGTACATTTTCACAACTGCAAGTAATATGGATATTATCAACAGTTCATTTTACTTTTAATAGGTTATCAATTGAAAATTATTCATCTTCATTCTGTTGATTGTAGTAATGGCACTAAATGCACATCGCAAATTCCCATCTCAATAATGAATGTAAATGAACGGACTCTAGAGACTCCTTGAAAGCTGTTAATTGCAGTAAACAATTGATTGTGTTCATCAAAAACAATTTAAAAAGTATATTATTAAAATACGCGTTTCTCGAAAAAATATCATTGGAAAAGTGCCAGAACAAAAGGATTTCGAGAAATATGTACTTCAACGACTTTTCCGAAGGAAATTATATGAAAAATGAGCTTTTGTTCTTGGGAAAAAGATTGCTTTTATAAGACAATCGTATCGGTTTAATAAATTGTGTTTTCATTTAGGTACATACCCTTTAAAGATTGGCTCTGCGAGTAATTTGAAATTCGGTTCCACGGAAAACCTTTCATTGATTTTTACTTTGTTTATAAAGCATATTTTTGGAGTCTTCACAACCGATGTAGGAATAGAATAAATTAATATTAATCTTACTTAACATAACATCTTTCAAACTTTTAATCTCAAGTTGTTAGGTAAATATGAACTGATGCAATCTACAATGCAATTTTCACAAACTATGAGTTCCATGGATCTAATAGGGAGTTTATTGTATTTTTCAAAAGGCAATAGGCTCACCCCCTATTACATGGGACTCATAACATAAATAGTGAAAAGTGGGTGTTACATTGTACAGTGGCATTAAGTGCCATAATGTGCACCTCTGCCTACTCGCTATCATAGCTATTATAGAAATCACTACATAGTATAAACTCGCTATCCCTATGTATGCTTAGATCTTTAAAACTACGCAACAGATTTGGATGTGGTTTTTTTAATAGATAGAGTGATTCTTAAGGAAGGTTTATAATATGTATAATACATGCGTATTGCACCCGTGTGAAGCCGGGGCGGGTCGCTAGTTAAATATATAATTAACTAGCTGTTGCCCGCGACTTCGTCCGCGTAGAATATGATTCCTGTTTTATCTCATACATTTAATCGGGATAACGATTATCCTATCAGCTAAGTTGCATGTATACCAAATTTCATCGAAATCCGTTCAGTAGTTTCAGCGTTATTGACGGACAAATATCTAAACAAAGAAACTTTCACATTTATAATATTAGTGTGATTATACATTGAGTTAAACAGTTAACAGATAATAGTAGTATTTAAAACTTAAAAGGTTTTTTCTCTTAGAGCACTAACTTTAACTTAATTTTCCAAATCGCTCAGTATAAACAAAAACACAAACCTTGTAACAAATAGAAAACGATAGCGAAATATACAACGTCGCATTTTATAAGTAAATAAACAACCAGCTTGGCTTATTTAATTAATTAAAGGCGTCCATAATTCAGCTGAAGATTCATTTCGACAGAACATTTGAATTTCGGAAAGAAACGTCCATGTCTCGGTGTTTTGTACGGAGCTCTGTTTACACGACCATTTCGAAAATTAATTGGCTTCCAGTTTAAGTTATTTACTCTTTAATTGTATTATTAGCCAAAGCCTTAAAAGCCAAAGTATTTCTTCCTGACCCATCTACAATACCTACCTATAATATACAGGTAGACCAATATATTGTAGGCAGATATTAATTAGACCAATATTTTTTCTAGCATATCCTAAGGTCAAGGTGCGGGTTCGAAACCTACCAACAGCAGGCAAAATTGTGACCTTTTCCGAGTTATATGTACATTCTAAGATTATTCAGACACCACTCATAAACGTTGAAGGATAACATCGTGAGGAAATCTGGGCTTATAATTTCCAATAATAAGTTTGAAATCGCCAACCCGCATTAAGCAAGCGTGGTGATTAATGCTTAAAACCTTCTCCGTGTGAGAAGAAGCTTTGCTCAACAATGGGCATTGAAGGCTGTTAATGTGTGTGATGATATCCTAAGCCATACTTTATCCAAAAAAGTTTTAGAACTAAATCATTCACATTTTCTCAAAATTTGTTTCCTCACTTTTACCACACCTGCGTTTCAACGCTAATGGTGTAAGACCAAAAATTTGTAAAACTTGTAAACTTCATGAATAGTATACCTGAACTGTCCTTTGTTTTTATCTTCAGCCCCAAAAGATTGATTGTTGCAAAAACTTGAGTAATGGAAGTTCGGAAAGCTCTCACACAAATGTATATTGGATTCAAACATTAGATCCAAGTGGTGGTACAAATAATTCTAATTGTATTGAGAAGTTATAGATAAAATAAAGAACAACCAAATTTCCTTCGGTGACAAGTTGAAATAAACTGCATAAAACTAAATTGATGTTTATTAAAACTGTTATTTAAAACTGGAACTGCACGAAAAGAAAAAAAAATTGATGGCACAAAAAAGAACGAAATATAAAATAAAATCGTCTTACTTGATTCCCATTCTAGAACACACACACACGACTTATAACAAACACAGAATTCAATGCAATACCTGGGCATTCCTTCCCGCGCTGATTAAATTCGAATATGCCATTTCTCCGCATAGTCGCTGTACTTACTGAGTCTTTGCTATAACACTACCATGTTTGGTAGGTTACTATGTCGTACAGAGTGTAGTAACAGTTAGGCCCTCCTAAATTGGAGCGTGCTATGTGAGCAGTTTGCGGCTGGAGGAAAGTGGTCGCGGGCACTGCCTCAACGAGTTTGTTGTTTAATTTCCTCTAAAGATTACGCAGACGCAGACGGTTTTGTTTTGTTTAGAAAATAGGTATAATAATATAGAGTTTTGCTTTAATTTTTCATGTTATCTGGCAAAATTGTATGTCTTTTTTATAAGATTAGTTAAGAAGATTTTTTTATTGGACAAGCCCGGCACTGCCTTCCAAATCCGGTGCAACTCCTGTAAGTCAAGATCTACAGTAGAAACAACCATGAAAACACCGATACACTGAAGTCCGGCGCGTCCCAAGGATATGAATAACTGACTTGGTTCCAGTAACGAAGTGAATCAGAAAATATTATAAGAGGCGAAGAAAGTAGAAAATTGCTCAAAATTTGTACGTTTTGGAAATTTTAATGTAAAAATGTCAAATTTCACGTGTTAAAAGTCACTAAAGTAAAGTTGATTTCTGCACCATTAACTTCAAACGACGTATGAACAATTTTTCAAAAAGTATACCGGACATCTGGTGCTGCTAAAGCTACGCTGCTTGAATGCGCCAATCCCAACAATGCTGATCTCGACTTCGCTAATGTCGGCGTAATAGCTGTTTGTTTGAAAAATGTTAGCATTTTTTCCACTCAATGATATCTCAAAGAAAGTACAAAAACAGACAGAATATTGAGGCAATAAAGCACAAAATTGCTTAGCAATCTAGGACGGGAAGTTAAAAAAAACCTAACTTACAGTTCAGTATCGGAAATAAAAAGTTTTTCAATCTGTTCACTGAAGTTACTTGACCGAGGCGGTTCGCCCACAATTTGATATAACCAATAAATCAGCCGCTTGAAGTAGGTAAATTGTTATTGCTGTCTGAAAACGATTTTATTATGATTTTATAGCGTTACGAAGTTTTTAAGCGAGAAACCGATTTAACGAATAAATCGACTTTCTCATTACATTACTTACATCCAATCGACCTCGATAAGGTAAATGGAAACTTTTGAGTTGAATAAAACGCCTATGAAATAAACGTAACTCTAGAAAATAACTCTCTAAATACTTGTTAGAGAAGTTGAAATTGTATTAAGTAATAGTTGTACAAATGATGATACCGATAAAGATAGACTATCGCTTGATATCCCTATGCACAAAGACACTAAGCGCAGGAAAAATAATCCTGTATTTTGCTAGCAGCACATATCCTGCATAGAATATACACAAAATCAAAATAACGCTATTGATTTTTGTCGAGTTTCATCAGACGCTAATACCTTGTTTACCAGGCTTAGTTTAAACAAAAAGTTGGGCCAAAAATGTTGTTTGGAAACATTTCCACAGGATAAAAGTGCGGCTTTGTGTATAAAGTCAAGGGTTTTTAGTTAAAAGTTAGTTGTAATGAGTGCGCCAAACTCAAGTACTCAACTTCTGATTGTAGGTTTCCAAATTACCTACCTCTTCTTTCATGACATGCGAGTAGAATAATGTTGGCTTCGTTATTGTTTTTCGCCTTATTTTGTACTGACAACTGAGCAAATAAATATAAAATCAAACTATAAAATTACTTTTTTGTTTGCTATTTCGCTAGAATCAGCGGAGTACGGGAGATTCCAAATTGCGTCTTTAGACTAGTCTTTAATATAATCTTTGAATTACAATGTATAATATACTCAACTAAGTAAATGGGTACTTACTTCCACCTGCACATTTAGAAAGCTACGCAGGAGTACTATTTATTAAAATACTAAGTCAGATGTCATAGTACATGTTAAGATTCATTTACCAGTGTATAATATTCGTGGCTTAAACCATTGTTAGCATACTACGTCCTCCTTTTGTCACAATATAATAGTGTGACACCACGACCTAGTCGACACATGAATCTTCTTCAACATTATGTGTGGAGGCGAAAACCACATCAAAATACATCTTATTGTTCTCCAGATTAGCCTGGGCACGGAAGTGAGTCGGGGGATTCCATTTGCAACATTATTTATTGTATGATGTCTAGTTACAAAATTACTTGGTTAAAGGATTTAAATGTTATTTGGAATTATAAACAGCTTGTTTCTGGTCACTCTCTTGGGATCCTCCTTTTGAAATGCTTTTTTATAACTTGAGGAATTTCATTTCTTTGTGCATTTGTTCTGTGTTGAATGTTGCATGATCATTAGTTATTTCGTATAGCTAGTATTTTGATCTGATTAATTTTTAAAGCTTTTTATATTTGTTTGTACCATTCGAGTTAGCGGGCAAACGAGGGAATTGATCACAATATGATATACGGTCACCGTATATATTTTCGCTTATCATATCTTACATGGAAACGTGCTTCAAAGCGCTGTTGGTCTTAGTAACTTGATTCCACATAGATATTGTAGGGTCATATAATCCTAACATATAATCTCTAAGGAGCTTCGCTTGGTAAACAAGGAAGCACGATGCATAGTGCAGTGAATAGCTTAGGGAACTATCCTCAAGCCTCTTGCCAACTTAAGACCTATACTGTACATGTAGGTGCAAACTCGAAAACCATTGAGTCTAGGAAGTTTCTCCCGAAGTTTGCCAATAAACTTAATGCAATTTCCCGGCAGATGAAAGATAGAGTTCCTTGTCTATGCATGTCTTTATTTAAAATTGTTAATTAAAAATCTTTTGAGCACGCAATTTATTGAAACGACTCGTTATAGTTAATGCAGTAAAAATGTCGATATATTTTTCATTAGTAGTATAGTTTTAATTTTTTTTATTTCTGTTGCAAATGGTTACGTTACCGAACTTCATAGTATTTTTATTCCTGACAACGCAACAAAAAATGTTAAGGTTGAAACTGAAAGCTACTCCACATTTTGCAAATATTATAAAATGTACTCGTTCATTTGTTCAAACTTGTCTGAACTTGAGACAAGCTTCACAGAGACTTTAATCCAGTTTATGCCTACTTCCACATCTTCACATAGAACTTAGTACATGTCAAGTTTGAATCTTACAAGTACAATTGCATAACGTTCCTTATCCTACAAAGATGTACAGTGCAAGGAATTTCTACTTACGTGGCGAACTGGTAACTAGACATTAGAATTAGCATAAGTTTTTAACTACATGTTTAAGTTTCAACTGCGTTAAAAGACTGATATTAATGGTAATAAGGTCTAGTTTTCTGGTGCCAAAGGTCTTTTCTAGAAATTGCTGTAGTTATATAATCGTCTGGTAGACGATTCGAAAATATACATAGGTATGAGTTAATATGTTTCACGTTCATTGCTTTGAGTGTCTTGTGGTTATTGATACTGCTGAGGCGCCTTAGATTTGAGTCATGTAGAATACGTACATATGTGTGTCAAAAGGATTTTTTGGTTTATGAAAATTCTGAGTGATGTTCAGTTTATTTCTCTCTTTCTGTAGTTGAATTAATTGTGCTCAATAGGTATGTAAGTTTAGTGCATTGGTATAACATAAGATGCGTACAAATGATATGATAAAATTCATGTTTACCTTTTCTTACATCTAGCAAGAAAAAGCTTTATATTACGCACCAATGTCATACTGTTGGAGCCAAAGGTCTATACCATAAATTACAGTACGTAGAAGTTAGTTGCATAATCATTTGAAAATCTACGAGTATTGGTGAATACTTTTCCTCATTGCTAATTTACGTATGTTTTTGCAAGTATGACTAAGCACTTAGTTTGTAAATTAACCCTATAATTGATGGCTATAGACATAACATAACATCACGCTATTTATCCCCGAAGAAGTAGGCAGAGGTGCACACAGAAGTAAGTAACACCCACTTTTCACTATTTATGTTATGGATGAGGTACATGAGGTAGAGTACCCCCATGTAATAGGGGGTGAGCCACAGAAATAATATATCTGTGGGGTGAGCCTATTGCCATATACCAGGCACATTTCTGGACTCCTTGCTACTACTGAGATTTTTTTAAAAAGCCTAGTAATACTTTGCCCGACCCGGAAATCGAACCCGAGACCCCTTGCCCGGCAGTCGCACTTGCGACCACTCGGTCAACGGCTATAGACTCGTTATCTAATACGACTATTATGTTTGTGGCGCTTACTGGGTATCATAATGGACTTTACAACTGCTGCTGGTAATTTTGCCATAGGTAGTTTTTATACAGAAAAAGAAAACCCAAAAATTTATTAATTACTTTTATAATAATATTGGCGTAGAAGTTTGTCTCAAGGTCGTCCTAAAATTGACGCCAGTATTTTTTCTAAATTCTTAGTTACTGTTTTAATAAGGTGTATATGAAGCAGATTATATTATTATTCGTCCCGAGTATTGCTATTCCAATGTAGCTGTGCTCCCTTTTAATAACACTAACTAAAGTCAGATTTGACCCAGATCGGACATTATTACCCAAATAGGATGGTCCTGGTTGGAGTGTTAATAACAATTTATTACTTATAATCCTGTATACTTGCATAGTCTTCACCCAAATACGTGTTACTGGCCTTTTTGAATGAGCCGCGTATTTGTTTTCTATTACAAAGAACTTATTATACAACAAACATAAAAGTAAAAATTAAAACGATGATACAGCTGTAATCCTGCAAGATACAGCGTAATTTTGTTAAAACGACTTCACAATAGGCGAACGGGTTATTAAAGCCGGCTCTCTCGCACCGGTTTTGTGGGCTAGTTTCACGGTAATTTCGCTTAGCTGTGACGTCAGAGGTTCGTACTCATATGGTCAGTGCCAAGGCGTAGTAAAATTAGTATGTCACTTTATGATGTCATACCTATATAATGAATTGTTAAATCTATCATGTTGATTACGGGATTCATTTATATACGT